TGGTTCCCGAGATATTAGCTTGCCCGTAAAAAAATTTCGCGGGACCGTGCGTGTTACCCGCGGATACGGGAAGGCTGAATTTGAATGGGCAGGGTTGAGTCATTACCCTAAAATTTCAGCTTCCTAGACTCCGTAGTTCCCGAAATATTAACTTACCCGTAAAGAACTTTCACGGGTCTGTACGTGTTACCCGCGGGTACGGGGAGGCTGAATTTAAATTTTCGGGGTCACACGTGGGCAGGGAACGTTCCCCTAAATTTTCAGCTTCGTAGCTTCTGTGGTTCCCGAGTTGAAAATTGCGGACAAGTTGCTGCGGACACACACACACATACACACACACACACAAACATACAAACACACACACAACCCCGTGACAATATGCGTTTTGTACTGCTGTTACACAACACAAAACGCATAAAACGTACAACAGTTGCACAAAACGCATATTGTCATGGGGATGTCTGCTCATACGTATATGTCTGTCTGCATGTGTGCGTGCGTCCTATGTATTTTGTCCGCAACTTTCAACCCGGGGACCGCGAAAGCTAAGAAGCTGAAATTTTAGAATGCCTGTGTGTGACCTCATAAACTTTATTTCAGCCTCTTCCTGCACCTGTATACCACGTATGACCTCACAAAAGTTTTGGCTGGAGAAATTATTCACGAGCCAAAAGGACTAGAAGGTTGAAAATTTCAGGAGAATGTTTTCCGCCCATGTGGGATCTCCACAAATTCGAATTTAGTCCCCGTGTATGCCAAGGTGTCATGTACGACCACGTAAAAATTTTGGCGCAGAAATCATCCGAAAGTCAAAAAATTAGGAGCTTGAAACTTTGGAAGGATCTTCACCGTTCAAGATTTTAAATTCAGCTTTCACTTACCGGTGCGAGAAGTTTTAGTGGGAAACTTCGCAGAATTTCAATTTTTTGACCAATGTGCAATGCAGTAGAATCCGTAGCAGATAAACGTTCGCTGAACGGAACTGCGCAAAACGCATAATCAGACCGGTTCCTAGTGTGCGCTGCTATCTATTTAAGCTTATGTTGCGAAGCTGGCAAATGGCACAGTGGCTACTAGCCCTCCCTCATTTTGAATGTTTAGGGCTTGACATTGCCATCGGGACAGTCAGTCCCTCAAAAGTTGTTCATTTATACGTTTTCATGGTAAATTAGCACTGGCACATGCCAAAGAGTCAAACCCGCCATCGGTTTGCGCACAAGTGGCCCCTGAAAAGGAAACCATTGATAGCCGCCATCGATATCCTTGCCAGCGAATAAACGAACTATTCCTTCTGGCGGTATACAACTATTCAGGCTACAACCAAAGTGTTAACACCTGTAGGCACCTTCACAGCTTAGTTTCATTTCCGTCTTTTTATGCGTTTTGTGCTATGTAGCAGCAGTACAAAACGCATATTGTCACGATGTTGTCTATGTGTGTATGTGTATCTGTGTGTGTGTGTATGTGTGTGTGTGTGCCCCCGTAACAACTTGTCCTCCACTTTCAACTCGAGAACCACAAAAGCCAAAAAGCTGAAAATTTAGGGCAATGTTCCCCACCTACGTGTGACCCCGCGAATTTAAATTCAGCCTCACCGTACCCGCGGGCAACACATACGTCTCGTAGAAGTTTTGGTGGGCAAATTTATTACCACAGGGACAAAGGGAGTTAGAAAGTTGAAATTTTGTGGGCATGTACCCTGCCCACATGTGGCCCAGAAAATTTAAATTCAGCTTTCCCTCGTCCGCGGGTAGCGCGTAGAGTCCCGCAGAAGTTTTGGCGGATAAAATTATTAACACGGAAACCATAGAAGCTAGAAGGCTGAACTTTTGTGAGCATATCCCATGCCCACAGGTGGCGCGTACGGGCTCGTGGAAATTTTTGGCGGGGAAATTATTAACTTGGGGAAAACGAAGTCTAGGAAGCCGAAGTTTTAGGGTAATGGCACTCTGCCCACGCACAGTCTTGCGAATTCGAATTAAGCGTTCCCGCGCGCTCAGGTGTCACAAACGGCTCTGTCAAAGTTTCGGCGGGGAAAATTATTATCTCGGGAACCACGAAATTTGGGAATCTGAAATTTTATGGCTATGTCCCTTATCAACGTGCGACCCCCGCAGATTTGGATTCAACTTCCACGCACTCCTGGGTACCACGTACGGCCCTGTGAAAATTTTTGCAGGAAAATTGTCTTGTGAACTGCAAAAGCTAGGAAGCTGAAACTTTAGCGAAACATCCTCTGCCCACGTGCAACTCCACAAATCTTCAACGTCCCCGTGGAAGTTTTAGCCAGAAATAGGATTGCCTTGGGCGCCAGAAGGAGCTAAAAACTAGGGGCTAAAATTTCAGAAGATTGTTTCCTACCGAAGCAGGGGCTTAACAAACTCGAATTCAGTTCCTAAGCATGCCATGCTCTCAAGTAGCTCGCAATTGAAAGTTTTGCCACACAGATCATTCAAAAGCCAGAAATTGGTAGTTTGAAATTTTGGAAGGATATTCACCTTTCGAGGTTTCAAATTTCGCTTCCACGTGCCGATGCGTGAAATTTTTAACTTTTTCTCAACATTTCGACTACTTTTGCACAGACCAAAGTACAAAGCAGTGATCATTGTCAGGCAATCGTTCGGTGGACGGAATTGCACAAAACTCATGATCGCACCGGCTATTTTGATGTGTGCTGCTATTTATTATTCTTCAGACTGTTGCCCTGTCCTCTGATTTCAGGTACTTCTGCACCGCGCGTCTTGTGTCCTTCAAAATTTCCATTCAACCGACTTCTGGAACATCTAATGCTGTCATCATAGTGATGGCACTATAGAATGACAATGAAGCGTGAAATGCGACACATTCAGCACTGATAGCATTCCTGTTTGAGGGAGTAAATAGGAACAGTTAAGATCCCTGGCTGATGTAGCTGTGGTTGAATGAAAAAATTAGGGTTCTCGTTGTTGATACGAAAGTGCGCCAGGCGGAGAAGATGCGCTTACTGAAAATACTTGGAATATCGAGATTGGCTATGAATCCATGGCTTACTTTTTCATTAGTACATTTTTATGGTTATTTTAAGTTACGATCGTTTCATCCCCTGAAAAACAACGGCTCGTCGGACAGAAGCGCATAGCCGATTCGTGATGCTCTTTTTGTGTGCTGCCTCGCCGCCGAATGTGGTTACTTCTAGATCACGGTGATCTCATGCCTTATATGATTATGATCACCAAGGCGGGTACCCCATTCTGAAACCGTGAACTGTTGCAGAATGCAAACATGTCGTTGGTGGATCCGCAATGGGAAACGATTGATCCATGCCCGGACATACACGCCCTTTTCGTGCAGTACAATGAGACCTTCTTTGATGGCAAAATAATTGGCTGTGAAGTGAAATGGAGTCCTCGGATGACTTCGTACGTCTTTCCTGCTTGATTGCTCGCAGTAATATAGGAGCAGCACTTTCATTGTGAAGACTTGAAAAAATAGTAACATAGTCATTCTTTTTTTTTTTTTTTTTCTAGACATTCTCTTATATTTGTTATCTGTTGTTATCTATCGCCGACAGACATAACACACTGGGATGGCACCGCTGTCTTGCAATAGATCGAAAATTCGGTTCTGCCGTTCTGGGGCAATCAGTCCCTCTACGATTCGTTTCGATAGCAAATTGGTACTGGTATATGCCAGCGAATCAAACCCTCCATCAGCTTGCTTGTAAGCAACCATCAGAAAAGGAGGATTTGCTCGTGGATCATTGTTTTGCTAGCACTTGGGCTATTTCCCGACTGCCTCCGCCTCTCACTCAGAGCAAAATATGGGAGGGGGAAGAGAAGTTTTGACGTCTTTGACTTTCTCTTATGTATCATTTGATATTGGCTGCCATATCACCACCAGGATCGGCCGAACTGTCGATGTAGGGACCAGGTAATAATGGCATTACTGCTTGTTCACAAAAACTGGCGTAGCTCTGTTAACTTTTGCGAATCTGAGCTGCACATCTCCTGTTACTGTTCACCTCTCAGAAAAATGGCACTTCTTCGAAGGCCGACTGAGCGATTGTTTACTTTCTTGTAGGTACCATTCACTAATGTCCGGCATGCTGGCCCGGCCAGTAGCCGAAGAACTTTGGATATTAGATTTTGTTTTCTCACGCGATCCCAGTGATGTCCTTTACACTGCTCACTTAACGAAGAATTTGGTTCCCTCTTTACTCTTGACAAGACAGACATTCCGGGTTGCGCCAAGTATCGCCTCCTTGTTCGGAGCGTTATCTTTCCTGTTCAACAATGATGTACTTTACCAGCTAGGTTAGGTAAATCTGTTTTTTTTTTCAAGTAATTTAGGAAAAAAGCTATAACAGGAAAATCTCTTTTGATGTTGTATTTTGATGAATTATGAAATATTTTGATGAATAAGAAGAAATATCTCGAGTTCTGTGCAGGAGCTGCATGTAGTACTTGATGGCCGATACTGAACCACTCTGTGGATAGATCCGTCAATCATGTTCATTAAATGATGAATTAGTCCTTACTTTCCAAGCAGAGTTACCCTTCAGGCCATTCAAAGAGGAAGAAGAACAGGAGAGTGAAGGAAGAATGTTCAGCATTTGGCTAACACACAGCTTTTTTTCTTTTCATAATTTACTTTTTACATTGAAAAGAACTACTCATGCTAGTCCTTTGTTGTAGATACCTTCTGCAGTTATTTTCAGATCGGCAGGAGTCTGTGTATATGAGGGAAGAGGTGGGCTTTGCTCGGTTCGGCTCAGTAAGCCACTTCTGACTTTGCGGCCGCGGAAAGATCTTGTGGAGACACTGCTGCATGAAATGATCCATGCATATCTGTTCATCACGGACAGGAACAGGTACTAATTTGCCTAATTTGCTATAATTTTTCTGTAACAAGGAGAGGTGTGGATACGACCACCAGCAGCAGCAGACTGACCGATCGGTGATGTGGTTTTGATTGCAGCGACAGCCCAGCAGTGTTGATCGTGCGAAGGCAGGCTGTGATAAAATGACAGCTGCTCAAAGTATCAGACTAAGTACCACGCAAAAACTCTGTACATCAGTGGTGTACTGGTCGATGCTGCTACTGCGCTTCAGGGTGACCATTAAAAATACACTGAAAGCACATCTGGTAGCTGAAGAATGCTTTAGTCGTTGAGGTCCAATTTTCGACACGCAGAAACCGTAAACCCGCACAGCTCAGCACCGTTTTCTTGTGATTTCTGTGATACATTCGGTGTGGTAGTTCTGTTTATTATGCATATAGATAACTCATGGAAGATTCGGCTAGTTAAGATATTATCCCGTAATGGTCCGGCAGTGGTAATATTGGTGATTTTTAACACATATCAAGATTATCGTGAAATAGCTAAAGCACTGGTAAATTTTCTGATAATCCCTTCAGCAGACGAAATGATCGTCAGGATCAGGACCGAAAGGCGCAGTATAAATATATCAGCTGGAAACTCGTTAGAGGTATAATTGGAAAATCAGCCTAAGATTATAAGTGATTCAATAGTCGTTATGAGAAGGTGGATGATTCTTGAAATTTCACTGCATTATTTAGGGATCACGATGGGCATGGACCGAAGTTCCACTATCACATGCGCCGTATCAATGCTAAAGCGGGTACTAATATCACTGTGCGACACAATTTTGTTGACGAAGTGAAGTACTATCAGAGGCACTGGTGGCGCTGTAACGGCATTTGTCGGTACTTGTTTCTTCTAATTTATCATTTAGTGGTCAATTTGCCACTGATCGTGGTGTTTGTTTTGCAGAAAAGAATACAAAAGTCCCCTATTTTCACTCGTTAGACGTTTTCACACGCTAAGGATTGCTGCCCTTATCAATGTAGCAAGGAAATTGCTTTCAGATTAACTTTGCTTTCGCTGAATGAGTTGCATTGAAATTCATCCTGCTGAGGATTTTTACCATCCGTGTAGTTTATCTTAGGCCTGTTTATCTCAGCACATTCCTGCATAAGTAGTGGATTTGAAACTCGGCTTACTGATATGCAGTCAAGTCTGCTGTTCCGTAATTCAGTAAATTTTGGCATTAAGCGGATGTTTTATTTCAGGAGTTCCCCACCGTTCTACGGCTGGGTAAAACGTTCTATGAATCGAGCACCGAGTGAAAATGACTTTTGGTTCGAAGATCATCAAAAAACTTGTGGAGGTATTGATTCTGCTACTTTTTTCGTAAAATATCCATATGTCCCATATGCAGGTAGTATCTAAATGTTTATGAATGTAATGAAACATGGAGGGAGGGGAGAGCAGAGGGGGAAGGGTATATAATAGGGATATAATAGGCATAGGGATATATGGTAGGAATATAGTAGAAGCATATAATAGGAATATAATAGGGATATAAAGAGGAGGGAAGAATAGAATCAATCAAGATAAAAACAGCTGGTGGAACCCCTTTGAATGAAGGGAACAAAAAATCTGGCATTTATCGCAAGAGTTGACCAGCGTGCTTTGTGTGCACACGGCGGCGAGAAACTCAGTACCTTAGCAGTTTGTTACGGTTGATATGTTAGAAATAATAATAACGATATCTCCCCCTCTCTCTCTCTTGCCCTGTCCCGATTTTCCATAGGCGTGATTTCATTTAATAATTTTAGCTTAACAATTGAAACAGGTCTTTTCTCAAGGTTTTTTGATATTTGAAAATTGGCATATGATACATCCTAGAATGAAGAATGTTCACTTTCAAAATCACAAAAAAAAAAAGATTTTAAGAGCAGAAAAATTATTGATAAGTTACATTAAAAAATT